CCCTTGGGGCTGGGAAGGTGGCTCAGTGGTAGAGCGCTTGCCTTGCATGCCTGAGGCCCTGGGTTCGATTCCTCAGCACCACATAAGCAAAAAGAACAAAGCTGGAAGTGGTGCTGTGGCTCAAGTGGTAGAGCACTAGCCTTGAGCTGAAGAACTGAGGGACAGTGCCCAAGCCCAGAGTTCAGGCCCCATGACTGGACCCCAAAAAAAAAAAAAAAAGAATATTACCCTTATCTTATTCTTGTCATGAAAAACCTCAGTGTGTATGTGCGTGTGCGTGTGTGCGTATGTGTGTGTGTGTGTGTAGCTCAGTGGTAGAGCATTTGACAAGTGTGAGGCCAAGATGGAGTCCTAATAACACACCCACACACACCTGCAAAAAACAAAACTTTGTTTCCTCACTAACTACCAAATAAAGTGAAAATACCTTAGTCTGGTAGAAAAGTAGATCATAATCTAGCCTCACTTTATTTTCTAATCTGAATCCTTTATATGAATTCCCACCTTACTGTTTTTCAATCTCCCTAAAAGTAATGCCTTCTAAACCCTCTTACAATTTTCGGCTTCCTGTGTTTTCTAGAATGCATTCCTCCAAATATTGCCTCAGCTCAAATACTCTCATGTTATACTCTGAACAAGCTTTCCCTCTATGAGATACCATTATTTGTGTGCTCTAGCTACAACATACACTTGTAACTGACTTGTGACTGTCTTATCTCCAACATTCCTCCTCAGATGGTAGAGACTAGATTTTCCATCTTCAATCTTAAGCTCTCAACATCTAACACTATGCTAAGTTCTTGTAAAGTCAGTATTATCTTGTGCCCTCCAATATATACTTTTTTTCCCCTGAAAGCCTGCATCTCTGAGGTAAGAGATCACATTTTGCCATTCTTGATATAGCACCCAGCACAGGGCTTTGCAAACAAACAAAAAAGCCACAATAAAAATGCATTAAATGAGCATTGGAATGTACTCAAACCCAAAGCATCTAGCATAGACAACCACTTAATATTTTCCTAAAATTTTCCTTATTCTAGACTTTAACTATTAACTAGCCCCAGTTCCTTGAGTCAGTGCAAGGCTGCGGGTTTATGTAGATGAAGCCCACAGGCTTTCTAGAAGAGAACAAATATGACAAATATCCACCAGGTGAAACTAGTGTCTGAGGCAATTCCAGTGCCTGAGCCTAAAAGGACACTGGCCAGGCTACTGAACTGGCACCAGAGACATGTTCCTGTATCCAGAGTCCCTGCCACTGCCATCTTGTCTGGGTTGTCTGCTCTTCAGTGTCCCAGCAGTAGCAGTAGCAGTGAAATAGAATCCTGGCAGCTGGAGAGCCTGCACCCCACTGTGCTCCTCACTTACTGAGTGATTTATTTCAAAGGAAGCTCCTTGGGCAGGTTATCTCAGGAGTTCTGGCACATACAGACTGTGAGCCTCTCCAAGAGGAGGCAAACAGGCCAAAGATCAACCTGTGGAGTCAGGAGGGAGGAAAGTTCAGATGTCCTGGCAGCCTCTTCTGCCAGCATCCCCCTTTCTCCGTTTCATAACGTAGGCAGGTAAGGTGAGGAGGCTTTTGTTGTTGTTGGCCATGGGGCTTGAACTCTGAGCTTGGGTGCTGTCCCTTAGCTCTTCAGCTCGAGGTTAGAGCTCTACCACTTGAGCCACAGCGCCCACTTCCGGCTTTGTTTTTGTTTATGTGGTGCTGAGGAATCGAACCCAGGGCCTCATGCATGTGAGGCAAACACTCTATCACTCAGCCACCTTCCCAGCACCGCCTATTTCATTCTTATAGGTTTATAGCTTTCTCATTTCTAGCTGTGATATCTTGAGCAAGTCCCTAATCACTGATATATTTCCTCATCGATTGAACAAAGATAATAATCTTGTGCTGCCACTCACACAAGCAGGATGAGTGACAAATGCATGCAAAAGAGCTGTTCATATTGAAGAGCCCTGTGAGAGGATCCCCCCTTCCCCGCCTTTTCTCATCCGGAGTTTGAACTCAGGGCCTGGGTGCTGTCCCTGACATTTTTCAGCTCAAGACAAGCATTCTACGCTTGAGCCACAGCTACATTTTTGGCTTTTTGGTGATTAATTGGCTATAGAGTCTCATGGATTTCCTGTCTGGGCTGGCTTTGAACCACAATCCTCAGCCTCAGCTTTGTGAGTTGCTAGTATTACAGGTGTAAGCCACCAGTGCCTGACTTCTTTTTAATTTTACTTTGCTTTTTTTTTGAGATAGGATTTTCTTATGTAGTAGACAATGAAGTCTTGAAATCACCATCCTCCTGCCTCAGCCTCCCAAGTGATGGGTTTACAATTGAGCTCCACGTGACCCAGCTGGGTATTCTTACTTTTCACATTATCTGCACCAACTCCCTAATCTTCTGCATAAGGAAACCCAATCTCAAAAAGGTCACATGGTCATTCATGGTGAGATCTAGGTCTTCTAATTTTCAACGCCAGTTAACACCAGACAGTTTACTAAGTGCAATCATCAAGCAGCCCTGTGCCTTTTTCCTTTCCAACTTGTATTTAGAACAACTTACTAAAAAATGTAAAGAAGCTGGGTTCTGGTGGCTAATACCTGTAATCCTAGCTACTCAGGAGACTGAGATCTGATGATTGCAGTTGAAGCCAGCCTAGGAAGGAAAGTTCCTAAGACTCATCTCCAATTAACCACCAAAAAACCGTAAGTGGAGCTGTGGCTCAAGTGGTAAAGCACTAGCGTTGAGTATAAAAGCTCAGGGACAGCGCCCAGTTTGGGACTGGAACATACACACAAAACAACAAAAAATCGTTTAAAAAAAGTTTCAGGGGCTGGGAAGGTGGCTCAGTGGTAGAGTGTTTGCCTTGCATGCATGAGGCCCTCGGTTCGATTCCTCAGCACCACATAAGCAGAAAAAGCCGGAAATGGGGCTGAGGCTCAAGTGGTAGAGTGCTAGTCTACAGCTGAAGAGCTGAGGGGCAGTGCCCAGGCCCAGAGTTCAGGCCCCACGACGGACAAAAAAAAAAAAGTTCCAAAAAGGAGCACTGTGTCAGTGGCTCATGCCTGCAATCCTAGCTACTCAGAAGGCTGAGATCTGATGATTGTGGTTCAAAGCCATCCCGACAGGAAAGTTTGTGAGACTTTTATGCCGAGGGCTAGGGCGAAAACTTCAGGGACAGTGCCCAGGCCCTGAGTTCAAGCCCCAGGACCTGCACAAAAAACAAGAAACAGAAAGGGGGGGGGGATATCCTGGGTATAAAGAAGCGAGGAATAGTGGATTCCTTGCTTAGGCCACTCAGCACCTCAGGGAAGCCACTGCAGGAGAGAGTGAAGAGCAGGGTTTCGGGACAGGCCGTCCAGGGTGGTGGAGTGGTCTCCGGCCCTGGTCTGGAGTGAGTGAAGATATGAATGTGTCTTTCCAGGGCGTCCGAAGATTGGAAGTGTTTTCTTCGCTAAAATCCGGTTTATCCCTGGCTACAGCTATGTTTATTTTCCTGAACTATAATTTTTCCCAGGCCGGCAACTGACTCCGGGCCACAGCACGGCCCCTTGGGAAAAGTAGTTCGGATTCCCTTTCAGGTGAGTTCCTTTTGCTCGGCCTGTCAGTGCGACTCATTCTAGGAAACTTCATATTCAAAGGGTTCCGGCAGCAACCCGAAAGCAGATGTTGGGACCACCAAGGTGTTTAGGTGTCTAGCATCCTGCAGAGGCGCGGGAAAGAAAGACTACAACTCCCAGCAGCCAGCGCGCGCCCCTACTGCGCAAGCGTAACTGCGCCTCGTCACCCCTCCCCCTTCCCCAACTGCTCCTGTCGGTCCGTTCCCGAGTTCCCCCCCATCAGTTCTAATGTCCCCTCCGTCTCTCCGGCACCTCACACTCACCGCGAACACGCGGCGTTGGGTACAGCCGCTGTGCCTTCTCCAAGAAGCGGAGCGCCCGGTCGGGCTGGTTGCTCTGGATGGCCTTAAGGGCGATGCTGATACAGCGCTCAGCTTCATCCTTGTTGGATTCCATGGCGGAACCCGAGCGCGGAACCTGGGAGGGGGAGGCCGGGCGAGCGAAGGGCTGCGCCAGCTGCCGGCGCGTCGCGGGGCCGGCTGGGTGCACACTGATGACGTAAGGCCACCGCCTCCTCTTTAGAGATTTGAGCTAGTGGAGTCCGGGCGGAAGCGATACCGTATGTCTTCTAAGAAAGGGTCGCTGGGTTTAGATTTAATGATGTGTGCTATTTTTAGTTCTCGAGCCCAAGGTGTTAGCTCTGGAGTCTTAAGAGTACACGCGCACGTTTTTGGTAATAACTATGTGCTCGAGAGGAAGGAAACATCCATTCATTGAACAAATACTCTGTTTACCCTCTATCAGGCAGGGTTACCTGATGGTACTACACCACTGGAGTCTTGAATTTCTTCGAAGCTCATTTTAACACACATCTGAATTCAGGAGGGGTAGGTACAAACGACTGTCTAGAGGAAGGGTGGTCCTGGCAGAAGGAAGAGCAAATGCAAGAAAATAGTGATTTTTTTTTTTTGTTGTTGTTGAGTTATTACAGAACCAAGGAGTAGAAAACACTGGAGAGCATGAAAGAGTCCACCACAGAAAGGATCCATCGGTTTCCAGTTCTTTCAGCTATAACTCCAGTGACAGCGGTCTCATCAAGGTTGCCAGTCACTTCTCCATTGTCAAGTCCATTGGTCATTCCTCAATCCTTACATGACTAGGCCCTTCACATAAGGCCACTACAATAAGTCAAACGAGTTATTGTTGGCTTTTTGTTGGCAAAAGGCTTCTTATAAGAAGCCAAGATGAGGGCTGAGAAGGTGGTTCAGGGATAGAGTGCTTGACTTGCATGCATGAGGCCCTGGGTTTGATTCCTCAGCACCACATAAGCAAAAAAGCCGGAAGTGGCACTGTGGCTCAAGTGGTAGGCCGCTAGCATTGAGCTGAAGAGTTGAGGGACAATGCCCAGGCCTCACGACTGGCACCCCCCCAAAAAAAAGCCAATATGAATTAGAAGCTACTGTATAATCCAGTTGAGAATAAATGGTAACTTGGATAAGGGTAGGGGTGGAGGTGGTGAGAAGTAGTTATGTTCTGGATATATTTTGAAAATACAATCAAGTCGTTTTGGCTGATGCAATGTGTGAGAAAAAGAGCTGAATGTAGCCAGAGAAGAGTAGAATTTGATTTTGGAAACTTTCAGCACTTCTGTATTTAGGTGTCTAGAAGAAGAAGAGACTTTAGGAAAGTAGAATGTTAAGTAGTGGCTTATAAGGTAAGAAAACAAGTTATCTCAAGTGAAGCAGATGTTTCTCTGGGAAAAAAGGAGTTTATCAAATCCCATGGAGAGGCCAAGCAGTATGAGAACCAGGAAATAACCCAGAATTGTATCAGTGGTGACTTTGATATAATTGCTTTTAGTGGCTGGTAGGGAGATGTCAGACAGATGGAGATGTATTCAAGAGGATAAAAGGAGGATGAAGTGGATTGGTAGGAGGAGGAATGTGGGTTCCTGTGGAGTTTGTTTTTCTGTTAAGCTGGGGTATTTTGTGATAGGAATTATGTAGGCAAGACCTTTTCATAGTGCAAGCAGGAGAGGAAACAATTAGAATAGACAAGAGGAGGGGAGGGATTGAAGGTGCAAGGGGGAGACATTGGCCTTAGTCGCGTGGACATGCATTGCTTTTTAGGAGTCAAGGCAGTGTGTGTGGACACCTGTCAGGCTGGCTGGTAGGTGTGGAAGTGAGGGCATGAGGACATTCTCTTCAGATAGGACCTCCCATTTCCTCTTCCCAACACAAACCCTTATGTCTCTTGCTAATGAAGAAATCTACACCTCCTTAATTCAGTAAAGTTAAGGTCTCCACGGACTGATAGGCTCCTAATCTATTAATGATAAATATTGGGTCCCTTTCAGACAGACTCCCTGAGGTTGCTTGATCCAGGACTACAATGTCCAGCTTCCCCCTCCTACTAAGTATCGTGAGGTTTCTTCCATTTTAATGAGGTCTCTCTTCTGTTGACCATAGGGTACTTATCAGTGACAGAGGTATTCACTCAAGTGGAAAAGAAGCCTGTAAATTTCATGTGTTAAGGAACTAGGTTGTGATTGCTCAGCCACAGGCCAGTGAGTTCTCTTCTCCTGAAAAGCATATGAAATGACACAGTCTTATCTGCAGTTTGACTCTATAGTCAGTTCTGGGTAGTTCTGGATCAGTGGGGATCTGGAGAGAGGGCTGAGTGCATGTTGAGTGATTTTAGGTCACTGTGAGAGGGAGCCCTTTGTGCCTTATCTTGCCTGAGCCATGCAATTTTTCCTTCCTTCTTTCCTTCCTTCCCTCTCCTTTGTCTTTTCCCCCTCCCCTCATTCCCTACTTCCATCCTTTCCTCCTTCCCTCCCTCCTTCCCTTCTTTTCTTTCTTCCTTTTTGTGTTACTAGGAACCCAGAGCCTCCTGCATAGATCAGACCTCTACCAATTGAATCACAACCTCTGCTCCTGTTTCTATCCAGAATTTTGTTTCAGAATGAAGAGTGAATGAACAATGAACTAAGCCTGAAGGCTGGTCTAACCAGTCCTCGTGTTGTCACTCACACCTTTCTTTCTTTCTTTTTTTTTTGTTGGTCGTGGGGCTTGAACTCTGGGCCTGAGCGCTGTCCCTGTGCTCTTCAGCTCTATCACTTGAGCTACAGTGCCACTTCCGGTTTTCTGGTGGTTTATTGGAGATAAGAGTTTCACAGACTTTCCTGCCGGGGCTGGCTTTGCACTTTGATCCTCAGATTTCAGCCTCCTGAGTAGCTAGGATTACAGGTGTGAGCTACCAGCGCCTGGCTCACACCTTTTTTATAGACCTTAGTCCAACAAGGTATCTTAGTTTTTGAGGCTAATTTGATTTTTATGGATCTTTTTCAGTCCAAAGTCCAAGCATAAGCCATACCCAGCTTAGTTTATGTTCATAATGGCCTACAGGTTTTGCTTAAAATAAAACTGGCATATCAGAGATGACCTGAAATTACACTTTCTCTTTATTGTCATGATTCTGGTCTAAGGGAAAAATCTATAAGCTTCTAACTTGACTAGCAGGCATGTAGTATCTAGACAGATGAGACACAAATCTTTACTTACCTTCTTCACAGTTACCCAAACACCACTGGCAAAGTGAACCAACCAGTGAATCTTAACAGTACTTAACTTTGCTTCTGGACTGAACCCAGCCTTGCATGAACTGGACATCTGCTTCCCTATCTCTCTTCATTGGAGAGACAGAATTCTCAATCGACTATAACAAAATTTTATCTTCTACCATCCCTCTCCATCTCTACCAAGATACCTCTCACCTCAGCAATCTATTTGCCTCTTCTCTTTAATTATCTTTTCAGTCTATCCAAGCAGAACTCATTCTTTAGAACTCAGTTTAAACCCTATCTCCTCTGTGAAGTAAGAGAATTGATTTAGCAGTCATGTGTCTTTCTTAGAAGTCAGGCACTGTTAAGGTACTGTAGGGATTTTGAGATGCACAATGGACAGAACCTGGAGTTTGGTCTAGAAAGGGAGAAAGGAATAGAAGAACTACAAGATCATATGATGGTGATTTCCACAGTGGGACTGTGTAAACTCAAGAGGGGTTCACAGGGGAGTTGTTATCTGTGTGTAGGGTTAGAGAAACTTTTTGTCCTGCACAGCTGGCATCCTTGCGACATTCTGTTTCCAGCTATTCCAAGATGGAGACCTTGCCTTATGGCCTGAGCCAAAAGCCTGATAGACAGCCCAATAGTTTTGATTATTGCCTGCCTCTACTGGAGCTTGAACTCAGAGCCTGAGTGCTGTCCCTTAGTTTTTTTGCTCAAGGGCAGTACTCTAAAACTTGAGCCACAGTTCTGCCTCCAGTTTTTTTTTTTTTTTCTTTTGGTCGTGGTGCTTGAACTGTGGACCTGGGTGCTTTCCCTCAGCTCTTCAGCTCAAGGCAAGTGCTCTACCATTTGAGCACAGCACCACTTTTGGTTTTCTGGTGGTTTATTGGAGGTAAGAGTCTCATGGACTTTCCTGCCCAGGCTGGCTTTGAACCATGATCCTCAGGTGTCAGCCTCCTGAGTAACTAGGATTACAGGCGTGAGCACCTCCGGCCTGCTGCCTCCAGCTTTTTAAAGGTGCTTAATTTTCAGATAAAAGTCCCTTATCTGCCCTGTTGGCTTCAGATCTTAGCTTTCTGAGTAACTAAGATTACAGACCGGAGACCCTAGCACCAGGCTTATATTTTTACTTTTAAACTGCCACAGTATCTGTAATTATCCTGCATTTAAAAATTTCTAGCCAGGCAAAGTGGCTCAAGTCTTTAGTCTTGGCTACTTGGGAGGTAAAGCTCAGGAGATCATGGTCCGAGGCCAGCCCAGGTATAAAAATTTGAGACATCATCTCAACCAATGGCTGTGTGTGGTGGTGTATACCTATCATCTCTAGAAACATGGAGAAGTACAGGATCATAACTCAACTGCCTGCTCAGACTTGCATAGAGACCCTATCTTGAAAATAATCTATGTACCATGCTGGTGGCTCACATTTGTAATCCTAGCCACTTAGGAGGCTGGGATCTGAGAATCGGTTCAAAGCTAGCTTGGGCATGAAAGTCCATGTGATTCTTTTTTTTTTTTTGGGGTCCAGTCATGGGGCTTGAACTCTGGGCCTGGGTGCTGTCCCTCAGCTCTTCAGCTCAAGGCGAGCGCTCTACCACTTGAGCTACAGCGCCACTTCTGGTTTTCTGGTGGTTTATTGGAGATAAAAGTTTCATGGACTTTCCTGCCTGGGCTGGCTTTGAACCATGATCCTCAGATCTCAGCCTCCTGAGTAGCTAGGATTACAGGCGTAAACCACCAATGCCTGGCTGGAATTGTAACCCCTTTGTACAACTAAATAAAGGTTAAAACAAGAGTGTGACATCAGAGGAGGAGAACAGAGCAGTGGTGGGAGAGATGGCAGTAGAGGTGAAAGGGGGAGGGGGATGCCTGTTTTCAGTCCCAGCCTGGACAGCCATACTGCCTGGCTGGTTCAGACCGCTCTGTCTCTTGATAGCTGGTCATTTTGGATTAGTTAAGTTAGCTTCTT